TATATATATATTACTTAAAGTGACTCAATGGTGGGCCAGATGTAAGTCAGCTGTGGGCCAGATTTGGTCTGCGGGCCTCCAGTTGCCCATGCCTGCAATAAGACATTAATTGGTCATCACCTGTATTAAGAACCTCACTTCAAAGGATCTGAGCTATCCCTTCAATCAAACATGTTTAAATAATACTGTGTTTGTATTTGATCTTGTCAGGGTGCCCTGTGATGTGTAAGAACTGCTAATGGTTTTGCTGCATCTAAATGACGTTCAAGCCACACTCAAATTTGGCCACACCTAAAAAGCTCAAAAACTACATTTTAATCTAAAGTAATAATTGATAACCACAGTTTTATCATCATAAGCAGACTGATAGGTGTTTGAACAGCCTCCCTCTCTGTGTCCTAAAGCATGAGGAGCTCGGTGACGGCAGGCATCTCTGTCTGTCAGTTAGTGATTGACTTGATTGAATGACTTCATGGTTTATAAATACTGACAGGCTGTCCAAGAGCATATCAATACTTTGGTGCTGTACCCTTTCAAAATTAGCACATATTTTAATATTTGAGTTGAATATCTTATGTAAGATCATTTTAGAACCTGTCCCTTGAGTTCAGCTATGCGGTCTGCATATCGTCCTTTTAACCAGATCAAATTCCAGCCTCAAAATAAATAAATAAATAAAAATAAGTGTCAACTGCTAAATTTTGGCTACTCTTCCACATTAGGACAAATTGTGACAAGCAAACAGCTGAAGATGTGGAAGCAGCCTGCCATGCCTGGTCAACAGCATGCATTTTGCTTACAGAGCAAACAGGCAATGACAACCAAGCTGCCATGACCAACCCTCCCAGAAACTATGAAAGCATGACATCAGAACCAAACACAGCTTAGCACTGGACTCAGAGTTAAAGTCCCTGTATTGTGACTTTTTTTAAGTTTGATATGAAAAAAAAAATCAGTATTTGTGAGTGCTGCTGGAGTTTCTACATGCTGTTCTATGGCCATTTCACCCATCTGATTGAGGCACATATACACAGCCTTTCATGCAAGGACAGACATACAGCATGCACACACACACACACACACACACATACACACACACACAGCTCTCAAGCATGCATGCAGACACAAACAGGCTTTGATACAGTGGCAGCATTTCACAGATAATTTCCCCACACCGAGCACAGATCCATTTCCCTCATGTCATATTCCACATCAGTCAAGGTCACCTTCAGCTGATCCACTCTGTGCAACATCAACACTTGACCTTGAGTTTTAGTAAGGATGGATTTTTCACAGGCGCATAATGTACCGTGTCCTGAAGGAGACAAAAGAGCTCTTATACATTAATAGAGATATTTTTTTCTTTTTTCTTTTTTKCTTTTGTTCAGAGACAATGCACTGCTAACTTTCCCTTATAAACCCCTGGATTTTTTTTCTTAACTGAAAGTGAGCAAGGTGAAGGACTTTGTTTTGCTCTTCTCCCATGGAAGAGCATTCGAGACCTCACTGTATCCTGGTTCCCCCCCCCACTCACCCCACACGGTCGCTTCACATGAAGATGACTTATTTGCACAATAAAACGCAGCGAGCAAATATTCAGCATGACTTTGCAATCAATGGATGTGAGAAGGGACTCCAAATGATTTTCAACTTGATTGAATGACATAATTGACTTGATTATACAAAGTTTTTTCTTCACCCCCCCTCCCCCCTCCCGTCCTTGAGGAATCCTCAAACGCTTAGGAGGAAACAAACAAATCAGACTGATTGAGCCCGATCTTGAGCGTGTTTCTTTGTGTGCTTTTATAGCCTACTTGTGCATGCTCGGATGTGTTAGCCGTGCCGCTCGTGCCGTGCGGGAGCGTGTCAGCGATTAACTGTATTTATGTGGGTGCATGATTAGGGGTATGTACGTGTGTATGAGTGGATTTGAGTGCCTTCAGCTAAAAGACAATCAGAGCAGATATTAAAGGCTATGACAGACAAGAAACAGATAGAAAAAAGAGGGTCTTCTTTGTGTTTTGTGTGTCCTTTCTTTCTGCCTTGCGCATCCCGTGGATTTATTAAATAACCTGCCTGTCAGTGCAACCTACCATTATTGTCAGATGCGCACTGCTCTGAGAACTTCCCTACAGAAGGAGAAACCAATTAATTCAGTTTGCCCTTCATAGAATCTCCATGGCAGTAGGGATCTCTGTCTGTCATTCAGTCTGTGTTGTGTTTTTTTTATTTTTTATTTTTCTGTCAGCTCATGTGCATGTCAAGAGGGACATTTGCCGGCGTGGAGGCAGGGCAGAAAGCCATCTATAATTCTTGGAAGTATGTTTTGAAGCCATTATCAATCATCACACAAGTACAGCTTAAGGCTCCAGGAAATGTTCTTCCTCACTGGGAATAAGCCCGTTTCACTGCTTTTATTTATAAGTTCTGTATACAGCATGTGTGTGTGTGTGTGTGTGTGTGTGTGTGTGTGTGTGTGTGTGTGTGTGTGTGTGTGTGTGTGTGTGT